TTATATATTAAAATGGGTTGTTCCTTAGGGTCCATAAAGAAGCACCTGAAACTTTTTTTTTCTAAATTCCAAAGTCTAAAAATAATTTATAATAACCTTTATCCTACCAAAAAGTACGCCACTGATCGACTAGGAACTTTAGGTTAATCTGGTGGATTTATTATGTTATGGTTGGTAACAACAGTGTTTCCAAAATCTCTCAAAAAAGTTGACAAACATTGTTTAAATTTAGCTTAATTACAAAAATGACAAAATTAACAATGCAAATTGTCAATTTGGCGTTTTTATTAATTGTTGGTTATTTCATTTTTGTACTGAAGGTAAATTCAAACAAAATCTGCCAACTTTTATGACAGAATCTAGTGCATTTCTGTTAAATTTTAGGTTATGTTTTCAAATTGTAAATATCTTAACTAAGGGAAGTGCTTTTGGATTTACTTACACAAATTAAATGTTTAAAGTTTAACCTGTGAACTGGTCCCAATTTCATCTGAGTAAACAGAGAAAAAAACTGATGAAAAAATTAATTTTGTGGTTATGGATTTCAAATTTCAAAGGTACTAAATTTTCTAATCATTCAGTAAATAAATACAGAAGGGTATTAGAGCTTTAAGGGCATAAAACTTTTGTATTTATTGAGTTTTTATTTATTTTTTGCAAGAAAAATTTTTAGTAACAATTTTTTACATCTGGCAACGCATAGCTACTTTGTTGGTTGGTATCTATGTACTCACAAAATACAGGTGTGCAGAGATAAACAAGTGTGTAACCAGTGGCGTATCACAAAAGATATAAAAAACTTCTAATGCATATTTTTTCTTTATCTTTGGAAAAATGTTTTTTTTAATAATTTTCCTTTATTCCTTATGTCAAAAGGTATTCAGTATTTTAATATATAACATTAATTACATAACACCCTGTAGTATTGATGATATTGTGCCATATTTCGTTATAATTTGATGATTTCAGAATGGTGTGTTATTTTTTTTTGTTTAGGAAATTGATGATTAATAAAGCAACATTTTTTTTGTTATTAGGTCTACAAAAGGGTTTGTAAAGGTTCTAGTAATTCCAGGACTTATAGGAAAATAAGGGTGTAACTAAAAAGTCATTTTTTTAAGTAAAACAGGAGCAATTTCATGCGGTGAAGATAACTTGGAAATGACAATTAGTGTAATGCGTGACTTTATGTCTAGTGCTTATTCGAGAGTGGAAAATATAAACGATTGTAAATTACATTAAAGCTGAGATTTTCTCAACAACTCGAGAGGATTTTATTGCTCATAACCAGATCATAACCGTTGCGTTTGGCATCATTTGTATTCTTGTTTAGCTCTTGACTCAATAAAACACTGAGATTATTATGATAATTTAAAAAAAGGTATAAGATGTGGATTCACCGCTAAGTTTATTTTGTAAAATAGCCATTTGAGAAATAAATTTAATAATTAAAATGTAAATACTAACAACGCTCGTATACTATAGTTTCAGTAAAGATCAAACGCTTTTGAATAAAGCAATACAAACTATTGGACCAACACGGAAGGAAATGTTATGATAAAGTAAATCAAATCCATTTATTAATTTAAGAAAAGACAAAATTTATTAAAAATGAATTAGTTTTATCTAAAATGGAATAAATAATGAAAAAAACTGACAAATTTAAGTTTTTTATGATAAATATGTACATTTCGCAAATGATTAATATCATCAAATTAAAATTAACATTATCGTTTAAGTGCTAAATCGAATACATTTTTTTCTAGGAACAGCAAAGTTAAGATTGGTCACAGAAAAAGTTCTTCTTAAACCAATCAAACATTAAGATTGGCTTTATGTAACGTTAAGCTTAATTTTCAAAGAAAAGATAGATAAGATCAACTCTTGGATTTTATTATTATATTCCTATTTGGATTAATTTTATCAAATAATATTTAAATAAAAACTAAATGGATTTAACTTTATTTTTACTAGTATTAGTAAGTAGTATCAAAAGTTGGATAGAATTAGTTTTATATTTGATTAATGTTAGTATACATTTTATAGGTCTTTTTCTAAAATTCATTAAATGTTTCTAATAATTTCATCTAGTAATTTTTGATAAATTAATATATTTTTTACTAACTATTTAGATAAATTTTGCACGAATCAATCAAATGATCTGATAAATTTTATCCTAATTATTCTTAATTTTGCCAAATTTTTTATTACTAAAAATAGATTAAATTGACCTAAAGTGCTTAATTGAATCCAAGAATTGGTCAATTTAAAAAAATATTATGTGTTTTAGAAAATCGTATACGATTATATACGACTATAGGCGAATTTAATTTAATTTTCACTATAATTATTCTAAATTTTGTAGTGATTTATAAAACTTATTTGCTGATATTTATCACGGTTTGATGCATTTAAACCTAAAAAATAATTCAATCGAATGAACTATTGATATTAGTCTAATTTTGGATTGGCGCTATATTGATCAAAAATTTGATTGTAATATTACCTTACTGGATTAATTGTATTCAAAATTTTTTTCCGTGAAGAGTTATTTGCTCCTTTATAGAAAGTTGCTAAGCTTTTCAATTAAGAGATGCAGTTTTCTTGTTAAAATCCCATTTTTTTGGGCTAAAAAACGTATTCTTTATTCAAAAGAGAAATATCTTTCGAAAAAATATTTTCATTTCTTTTCAGTGTAATAAAAAACAGCAATACAATCCCACATACATGGCATCGGTTGATAAATGACTTTTAATGCACTTTAAAGTATAATTGTTTATTAATTACAGCGATGGCCGAACGTAAAACAGTTGCGAATGAAGGCAAGACTCAGAGGTAGATGTGGGCACATTAATGTTAAAAGCTCGCTTTCACGCCGTTTATCCGAAAGGAATTTATCAATTTGTGAAAAAATTAACACCGCGCTTTGTGTTCACGTTGACTGTTACTAGAGAGTCTACGTTTAGATTCTCATAAATAACGCGCTAACAATCCACCAGTGACAGCTTGTTAAGTTCTAACCACAGGTTAGGTTATAATTAATGGGTTACGTCACGGAGTAATTGTTGAGTCGTCGCTATTATACCCACCTCGGTTCATTCGGACGTTTGTTAACGATATTCGGGTATTTTTGGCCCTCGTGTTCCAGCCTGTTTTTAGCTCAAATTCCAGCAAGAAATACAAGAATTTGTGGAATATTTCATTAAAATTAAATTATCGTCATGACACTAATTAACACATTTTTTAATTTAATTAATATTTTAATAGGTAGCAACTTTCCTTGAATAACCACAAAATTTTATTCATTATACAACATAACTTCATTATGTTTAACTCTATCGAGTTTAAGATCTAAACAGAATCTTTGTATCTTTATATTTGACAAAACAAAACCACAACCGCACCTTTTATTATAATATACCCACAGAGAATCTGTAATTTTAATTCAATTAGCTGTATTAGCATAATCACCTATAATTGCCTGTAATGACCACATACTATCGATTGCAATTGAAAATTGGATACCAATTTGGAAAATTCATTTTTTAATACCTTAGTACAGTTGAAACAAGATGATTGACCTAATATTGTCAAGGCTAAAACTAACATTAAACTAAATATTCATCTTTCTTTAAACAGGCAGATCTTATTCTTGTCTGTTAAATGTTAAGAAATACTTTAAATGAAATAATCTTATTCTTAGATTAGTAAATATTGGTACGACTGGCCTATTCATAAAAATATCCCCCACTCACGAAAGTGCCATTTTGGAAGATTGTTTCTTGTGTCAGTTAATTTTGGTTTGGAATTATGAAACAGTTGCTAAATTAGTGGAATTTGATAGAATTAACCACCAAATGTATGTGTAGGAAATAGGAGTGATATTATTTTGGCCGAAGAATCACATAAATAACAATTATGTATATTTTACCTCTAGATTATAGGTACGAATAAAAATGTTGGTTAAATAGGCCAATATAGCCAAAACAAAATCAACGTGTCTGAAGGTTTGAAAAAATCATTGCAGTATATATTATTGTACATTGTAAAAAAGTTATGTAATAAAGACAATGCTATAGACCAATATATTTTTTTTCAGGTTAAATTAACCAATAATTGTTTCAAATATTGTCTATTCTTTTTTTAACTTTTGCTCGACTTTAAAGGTTAGGATATAATGACCATTTTTATTGTAAAAGATTGGATTATTCTATCTATTTTTCTCTATCAGTCTTGGAAAAAAAGAAATAGCATAATCCACTACCTTTTGAAATAAACATGGTCATTATATCCTAAGCAAAAGTTAAATAAAGAATAGACAATATTTGAAAAAATTATTGCTTACATACAGATACTTTATACTTAATCCAAAAGTAAATATTGTTTCGCCAAGAATTATAACATCTGTATAAAAAAATACTTATTCTTAAATTAAGCTTAGTGTATATGTACATTTTTGTTTAATTTGTTAAAAATGCTTACAGCTTGTGGTATTTATTAATTTATTTTAAACAATGAACAGAGGAATTATTCGGATAAAAAATTTTAAATTAATTCTTTAGCTTGTGGGAAAATCTTAATCGTTATGTTGTAAAACATTTTAATTATGTATGTTTTATTATTCTACGAAAGCCATTTAAAGATGTTCCTCAACACATTTAAATGTTTTTGACCACATTACTTAATTGTGTTTAATTGGAGAGCTCTTTAGTAGATCTCTGCGTCCGCTTCCGCAATTGCAGAAGTTCCGCAATTGCGGAAGTTCCGCATTTTTTTTTGCTTACACCGAATCTGCTTTACGTCGTGAAAAGCGTAGTAAATAAAAATTGACCAAAAATGTGGTATTTACCCTTCCGCATCCACTTCCGCAAAATCTACCAATTGACATCTGTTATGAAAATTTCAGTTACATCATAGACACAAGGTAAAAATAAAACGAGGTATTCTGATAAAATTTCTTTTATATTTCATAATTTACAAGTTTTAAGTACATGATACTCAACATGGTTCGCAATTCTACAATAATATTCTAATATATTTTTTTAATTATTTTCACGGCAAATTGTTCGACGCGAAGCAATTAAAAAAGGTACTTTGGAAAAATGTACATACAGTAAAAAATGCATATCAACAAACAGATATACAACACTCATTACAATATTGTGTAGATATGTTAAAATAATAAAAAAATAATATTTACAAACATCACAGAAAACAATTGTTTAGGAATAAGTACTTGAAAGGATTCAAAAATAAGACGGGACCAATTGTATTTTAGCACATCTACAAATGACGATAATACTTTAATATAATACAAAGGAAAATAAATATTTAAAATTTCGTATAAAGAAATAAATAACCTCGTATTTACACTGGGATCAAGCTATAACAACAGGACTTAATAATTGGCACTAATATACATACAGTTTGGCACGTCTCGAATTGGCACTATCACTTCTCAAATCTCTGTCTGTAACTTCGGATTAAGTCGCGGATTTAATGTACAGGGGGGGGGATATTGCATCGTTTCTACGATTCACTTTCCACATCACTGATGCAGTCGTCCTCCATGTCCATGTCGATGTACTCCCCGTACTGATCCTCCCCGGTCTCCTCCTTCCACTTGTTTATGTGGTGAGCGTTGTTGGAGTTCGGGGTTCCGCTCTTACCACCCTGACTCGTTTTGGCCTCCTCCTCCTGCTGCATCCTTTTGTGCTTCGTCCGTCGGTTCTGAAACCACACCTTAACCTGCAACAAAAAGAGTCCAAGGTTAGTTGAGTGTCAACCGAGTGGCAGGTTGCTCATGAAACAGTGTGAAAGATAAACCTCCTTGGAAGAACAATAAGAACTCTTATAAAAGTATTGTTTATTTTAAATTAACTTTTCTCCTTTCCCTTTCAAAATTTAGCTAGCCGAATCTTCTTTTTTCCCCGTACTGGTACTGGAGATAGCGAAAGGCCATTATACAGAAGAAGAAGAAAAGTCAGTTCTGTGTGTCCGCCAAGTGGCAGGTTGCTGATGAAACAGTGTGAAATAAACCTCCTTGAAAGAACAATAAGAAGAACAGGAAAAGCTACATAGAGGAAATCCATAGCAATATTGTTTAATTTAAATACCTTTTCTTCTTTCTGTTCTTCTTCTTCCTCTTCTTCTTCTTCTTCTGTATAATGGCCTTTCCCTTTCAAAATTTAGCTAGCCGAATCTTCTTTTTTTCCCGAGGTACTGGAGATAGCGAATCGCTATCTCCAGTACCTTCGGGAAAAAAAGAAGATTCGGCTAGCTAAATTTTGAAAGGGAAAGGCCATTATACAGAAGAAGAAGAAGAAGAGGAAGACGATGATGCAGAAGAAGAATAAAAGTTAATTTAAAATAAACAACCAGCATTAGCATATAAATAAACCGCTTATCCCAACTTAAATCGTTATTAGCGATACAAAAAGGACATTTGTCTGCATTGTTTTTGTTTGTTTTGGTGTAGATGGTGGGCGATTGCGTTGAAAAGAAAACGTATAATAATGCGAGTCCTTAAAGGAAGTAATAAATGGCTTCAAAATTAATAATTTAATAACACGTTAGAGTTAAATTATTAATCTGTCATACATTACTTACGTCGAATAGGAGGCCGAGATCCCACTCGCGATACCGGACCATCCCACTTGATTAATCTCGCTATTAATAACGTAAATGAAAATGGTGCTACGCAAGTACGCATATTAATTTCAGACAATGTAAATACATCTCTAATTTTCTTTGTGATGTACCGGATCAACGTATTCATGGCAAACAGATGTAACACCGTCGAAAACAAAAGATGGCGACTGCTATCAAAAGAGAGGGTTGGTACAGCGAATCGCATTTGTTCCCTTTGTGCGTTGCAAGGGGGAAAGCGAGCTTTATTATGATAATAGTCGCGAACGTGTGAAATTGATAGTTGATGGGGTGGTGCGCGCGCAAACTACAACCCCAACTATATACGCTCCCCTGCAAGGTCAATTCAACAGAACAGAAATCAGCAAGAGATCATCGTTCCGATGCAATTTTTTTGTCGCCGCTTGAAAGATGATGGATGGATTGCACCAGTTAGGTAGGGTTGCCAGATTGCCATCGCGAAAATGTCAAAAGCGAAATATTAGTTTAGTTGGGTTCCACAAGATAAGCAATTTTATTGAGAAGCAACAGACAACTAAATGTATGGAACACCAGATATATTTGTACATTTTTGAATAGAGAAATATGAGTTTGTTCCAAAACACTCATATGTGTAGTATTTTTTTTTATTCGTCACTGAAATCTCTAAGGCATGTATATATTCTGCATTTTTAGCATGGAGTTTATTTTGAATACTATTATGTTGATGTCTATTGTATATTTCGAAGTATTTAGTTGTCCGTTACATCTCAATATTTATATAAACTTGTGTCGACTGCGCCATACATTTTTTTACATTTTAAGTAAAAACGGACAATGAATTAAAAATGTTGCTGAGGCTCGGCAAATCATATAAACGTAGCCTTATTAAATAACTTTTTATTGGTTTATACACAGTATCATATCTAGACAACTCACGGTGCAGTATATTACAATTTAGCGTCTGATTGTGAAATGTGTATCACGTCGATTTCTATTTTAAAACACTCCCCGCCCAAGTGCCCCTCCCATTCTATCGGCTGACAGCCAGTCCGGCCCATGCAACGAATAAAAATCCAAACAAAGCCTTTTAATTGATATCACCGGCGACGTTTTAAAATTCGTACGTAATCCCGGCGCTCGTACGCACGCTCGCTGTTTACATTCCATTAAAACGTTCAGATGAAACTTTTAAATCGCACGTTTTCAATTACCAATATAAACACCAATGGCCCGGATAAATGATTAAAATAATATCTAAACCCTTTTTAATCTTCCAGCAAGTTTTATTACGGTTAAGTGTCGCTCACAGCCCAACGCCGTTTCCACTCTTATTAAATAAATACACACCCGTGGGTAGTTAACATGCGAAATAATATTTGGTCCTTCGAACCGGATTTGAGAAAAGTTTATATTAAATTATTTGTTTTTGGGGATGGAATTATAAAAATTGTATTTTTAGGGTTAAACCCGTTTTCCACTCTTATTAAATAAATATACACCCATGGGTAGTTAACATGCGAAATAATATTTGGTCCTTCGAGCCGGATTTGAGAAAAGTTTGTATTGAATTATTTGTTTTTGAGGATGGAATTATAAAAATTGTATTTTTAGGGTTAAACCGGTTTTCCACTCTTATTAAATATACACCCATGGGTAGTTAACATGCGAAATAATATTTGGTCCTTCGAGCCGGATTTGAGAAAAGTTTATATTAAATTATTTGTTTTTGAAGATCGAATTATAAAAATATTATTTCGCATATTAACAATAATAATAATAATTTATTTGCCCAACAGAAAATTATTACATATTTAAAACTCGACAATAAAGCGTAGTGCAGTCTGGGCACACCCACTGCAGCCAACTTCACAACCCATTAAACAAATGACAAACGACATCTACCCCTGTGCAGACAACTTTATTTTGCCTACACGCAAAAATTATCGTCGATGCTATACACGTATATGTATAGCAGCAGTCGCAACAATAAAGCCTTTATTTGAGTTTTGGCCCCGCTTTTTTTTTGCACGGTTCTATCCCGGCGTAGTTCCGGGGCGCTTCCGGCACGAGATATTCATTTGTTCGAAGTTTAGGCTCCATTTGAGACGAAATGGATGATTTTACCCGAGCAAGTCTATTTGTTTCCATTTGTTTGTCGAACTTATATAAACAATCAACGTCAGTTTTATATTAAGTAAGTTGTAATTCCATTCTGGTGGTGGTTGTATTTATAAATGTAGATTATCAGGTTGCGTGTTCACAACATTTTAACTACCTTTCATAATGTGTGTGGAATTCTTTGTAGTTTAGTCGAAAACCATGCTTTTTTATAATGAGTTTATTACTACGTTTTTCAAAAGAATATATGACGTCATAAATTGTATCACTTGGTAGATCGAGACCTCTATTCTTATTGGAAAACATTTCTGCTAATATTTAATTAGCATATTGCTGAAACTAGTTCAAATTTGTTGATACATCTGTCAGTTGAACGTACCAATTTATATGTAAAATATTTTTAACTCCCTCAAAACAATGGCCATTTGCATATGATTACAGTAAACAAACACAGTTCTATTAAGATATTTTCTGGTCTGATTCTATCTAAAATGGATTGTGCATAATTTGTACTAATACATCACACTTTCTAGTATTTAAAATTTCATTGGATGATAAATTTGGAGCGTTGTCTCCTTTCAAGGAAGTACCTATTATCAAATAAATTAGGCGTGCCGTAATATTTCAGGAAGTATCGCGTAAATAGTCGTTTTTAACACTTGGGATCGCCTATAGACGATCGAATTATGCAAATTATTTACCTGAGTTTCCGTGAGTGATAGCGATTGGGCTAATTGTTTCCTTTCAGCTCCGACCACATAATGGTTTTTTTCGAATGCGTGTTCTAACTTCAGCAGTTGAGAAGGACTGAAGGCCGTCCTTATCCTTTTCGGTTTTCTGAAAGGTTGCAGAAGAAATCCGGGAATATCGGGACCTGGAAAAAAATAACCAGGTTAGATCTCTCTTGATAAAAAATTAGAAGTATAGTTCTCTTGAAAACAAATACAAAATCTCTTGAATGTTTCTTCTTTCAACCAAGTGCAAAGTGTTTTTGTTCAAAAGCTCTTCAATTAAGAGATGCAGTTTTATTGTTAATATCCCATTTTTTTGCGCTAAAAACGTTTTCTTCATTCAGAAGAGAAATATCTTCCTTTGTTTTTTGTTTTGGTGTTGGGGAATATTTCGAACATTTGTTCTTCGTTACCAACAAACGTTCTCTGAGTATATGTTGGGTAATTAATTAACCTGTCACTATTGTTACGTTCTGGTAATTGATATCGAAACAAAATGCTATCGTGTTTCATTTTTATTGCACCTCAAAATTAATTTTGCTGACGGTTAATCAGATACGACCGCGAAAAATAATTATTTATCCTTGTTGCTTTTGCTTAATAAAATACCAATAAGCAATTTTAATAATGGTGATAATGCCACATGAATATGTATTCAGGTTTTTAACAGACAAATATGGTTATAAATACGTTTTTATTTTTGGCAACAAGTGTAGATACTTTTATCTTTGAGTGGCCAAAGTAATTAAGATTATAAATTTTGAATTAAATACGCGTAACTAATGACAAATATGAATATTAATTTCAAGTCAACAGTTCATTTATTATAGCACTTAAATATGTTTAAACTCATTACATATTAATATAAGAAATAAACCATAACATCTTTATGTATAGGAAACAAACCAAGACAAAATAAGTTATTAGATCTTAGATGACACAATAGTTAACTACCTCGTGATCCACGAGGCATAAGTTCGTGTTCACACCTAATTGTTGCTAATTAGGCTGAACCCAAGTAAATTCCACACAACTTCCTTGGTATTAGCGGCCGAAATCGGAAAGCCGAGCTCAAAATTAGAATGCGTTGAACTGGCCGATTCCAATTGTTGCGTGATCTCGGACCATTAGTTCCAGCACCAACGATCGACCAGATAAAACCATGGGCAGTTTCGAGGGTAAACCTATACGCACGAAAACAGCTGCGACTCGTCAATCGATGCGCAATTATACACTTCCAAATTAGTTATCTTGATTTTGATGATTTGGAGGACCGTGTAGAAAGTTTGGGGTATATGTTGAGCTCAAAGGAGGAAGAAAGGTTGCATGATGAAGTTGGTGAAGGAATTACAAATGGGAAGCATGATAATTACGGTTTAATGGGTGAATTCTGTGAAGGATTAAAAATAATTTGTTCCGCGTAAAAAGTCTAAATTACCGTGCGCAATCCCCATAATGTTCGTGGTAAATTACGATGGTAGGTAGGTTATAACTAGGGACAATATAACTTCCACGTTAGCAATTATCCGGTAATGCTTTCCGGATATTTTTTCTCGATAATGGTCGGGTTCTCGCAATCGCTATAATCAATAGATATTTCGCGTACCCTGCGGGCCAAACGATCCGTTACGCCCCTGTGCTAAGAAAGCGTTCATGACGTGAGAAGCTGCCTATATGCAATACATCGAGCCTTATTATTACAGTATTACTGCAAATTAAAGTTTGGTTGTACTCCTTTAAGATTACATGCAATTTGGACAGGCTAACTACAACCATTACGGGTTTAACGGATTATACGGCCGAGCAAAAATTGAAACTAATTGAAATATAAATAAATAAAACTATTTGACAGGTTTTTATGTTTTAACACAAAAATATAAACAACGTCTCACTTATTGAATTGTTCTGGTCTCGAGGCTAGACATGCAAAGCAGCTCGCGAAAGAAAAACAACTACAAACAAATAGCTACAAATTGTCCCCGTTTATTCGCATCTTTATTTACATCCTCCTTTGTTGAGCGTATTCACTTGTTCTGCGCAATTTACTGCTTGGAATTCAACCTTCGGGACTTAACTGTATACTTTTTTGGTCCTTCGAGCCGGATTGATTCCCCTTAACGAATATTCTATATAATTTACGGTCTGATGCGTGCGTAACAATCGGAGTTTTTTATAGGGGCGTGAAAACGGGATTAGGTGGCTTTGTGTCGGCCATTATGAAATTAAACAATTCCGAGTCAATCATTCTGCAACTAGGTTGACACTTTTTGCCGGGGACGATAAAAAGTCCTTGTTTCGTAACTGTAGCAGACCTCTTTCATCAATAGCCGGGTAATTGGATTATATGGGGACATCAAAATCTTTCTGTTGTAGTTTTTTTTGTTGCCCCGGCCGTTACCTAATTTAAATTATAATTTGGTTAAGTGACTCTATTTAAGTAGCTGCACAAAGAATGACCCTTGAGACTGAGGGTCTCGTAAACACATAATTGGATAATCAAATCGTAAAAATTATTATTCCTGACTTGACCCCAATCACAAAGTGATTCTCGTTAGTTTTATGGCTTATTTAAATTCTGCAGATGTGCGTATTGTGGCTGAAGAAACTTGCGATTTTTTGCATGCTATATTTATTATTGCTTCGATGAATTTATATCGATGTAAGTTGCAAATTATCGCCCATCAATGGCATTTAATTTTATTACTCAAAGGTGGCCCAACAGTTAATCTAGGAAAAGTTTCACTATTTTTGCATATAAATTACGGACATTTTGCCCGAGGAATATTTAATACCCCATTAAGGCTCATTTAAAGAGTAACAGTAAATATTAGTTGGTCCCTTGAATATCAACGTTCAATTGTTATTAGCGGCACGCGCAGACATTTACAAAAAAATTATGTCTTTGAATTTAATCGAAAATATTAAAAACGTACCATGAAATTTATGATCTCGATGCTTTGAATTTTAAGTATTAAAATTGTATCTACGTAACGTATTTTTTTAACTTAAAATACATTGTACAGTCGCACAGCCAATTCCGAACTGAGCATGCGCATTTTAATTTTAACCGTCAAATTTTAACATTTGATGATTTAAGAATGGTGTTCTTAAAACAGTCCATTTAACAATGAAAGAAAAAATTCAGACGGGGCTGGTTACACGTGGTAATAGGAGGATTGCATTTATATAACAATTAGGCGAGCGTACATATAAGTAGTTTTTAAGAACACCTTAGCTTAATGCGCTGGCCCATAATTACGTATAATTACAGCTTGATATTTTTAAGTTTTGCCGTAAAAAATGATAGGTTACGCGGCGAAGAATTAAAAGCAAACATATTAAATTATCATTAAGAGGTAAAATGTGCACTTATTAAATTCATAAGCAGAGCTAATTTAGTAGAAGGTGCCGTGCCAAGGACAATGCGATATTTAATATCCTCTAACCATAAATTATACAATGTAAAAGACATTACGCTAATTAGTTCCAGATAGCTATTTTAGCTCGCTGTTTTATCGATTGTAATTGACCATAAGAAAGTTTTCTTAGACGAGAATGACAGATTGATAATTTCTGTTGGACACTGTCAACATTATCCTTTATTATCGCAAAAATGTACGATAAAAATTAACAAAAATCTAATTTCAATAGAGTTGCTATTAAAAATAATACCATTAATTCTAACACATTTAAAATGTTTCCCAAGCTATTAAAATGCAAATGAGTTGATTCTGCCTTAAAAAAAATTGATTAAAACCCCATCACGTCGTAAATTAATAAAACAACTGTCCAATTAAGAAGCAATAGAAACTAAGAAATGGGCAAAACAAAGCCTGGAACTGAAGCAAGCTGACAAGCAATTTTAAAATATTATACCCGACCCCAGCCCATTTTTCGGTTAAATGTAATAAAACAAGTTTTGAGTTATAAATTGTCCACCTTGTTATAATCACATGGAAGTCCTAATTAATAACGTACGGTATAAAATACATCTACGGATTATAAAAAAATCAAGGCGTGGACATAAATTATTAATTTTTTTTAGTAATTAGTTGATTTTATATTTAAGTATTTTAATGAATTAATGAATAAGAATATTAAAACGTTATCCCCCTATAATTAACAGAACATAAATTAGTGCTGGATTTTCTTAATTAATAGATTGAAACTGTATCTATTTATGTAATATTAATTAGATGCGTAAGTTATAAAAAAGTCATTTATATCCACATTAAAAACTAAGGGGCCAAAGACGCTACCTTGCGGCACCTCGCGCAATTTGCCTGGAAACAATTAAGTCTATATTTTAGCCGCGATTATCCCATTAAAGTATTAATTCCGAGTCTTAAAGTTATAATAATAGTGGTGTTGCTTCTAGATATAATTACGGCTTCACTCACTAATGTCTAAATAATTACCCGGCAGTTCCAAGGCACCGTACGATTGCCATCTAAGCAACACTCGATAATGAATGCGATCGCTTTTCTTTTGTTCGGTGTTGTTTGGTTCTTTGTTTTGTTTTGTTTGAAGAACACCAAAACAAAACACAAAGTGCTTAAAGAGAATATTTCCAATGTTTGTTTAACATGTCACCAAAGTTTTTCTTTTTCAAGTACCTATGGTGGATTTGACTATTGGTTTCTCTTCATCTTTTATTCACTATCATCTTGAGGATAGTGAATTACAACTAATTTTTGTATAGGTAGGTATATAGGTGTTATGTTATGTTATCCGACGGGAGGTCAATGGTTTTACAAAATGTATAACTTAGAGACTAATGACAAATCGACCCATGCAATGAAGACTATTGTAACTCAGTTTTGATTGTAGACTAGAGTAACTCAACTTAATATAGTTTTCGCCTGTAGGAATGTGGATTATTACACTTACTATACAGGGAAGTTGTTCACTGGTTGCCTATCGTTTCATGTCTGAGTTACTGTAATCTTCCACCAAATAGAGCTTGAAAAAATCTGTTGAAGTCAAAACCCACGTTTTTTGAGTTACTATGGGTCGAAATGATAGTAGTAGCATAGATGAAGTGGATAAAAACTTGACTTACCACCGGGAAACCGATGCGGAAATATCCGTCCGTGCCTGGAGAGTAACCACGGATACAACGGGTAACTGTCTCTGGGTTGCGCGTGCTGAGATAGAGGGTTAGGTTGTCCTGGGAAGCCGTGCTGACCTGAACTCAGAGCCGCCGCCAGGGCCGCCCCTTGGAAGTGGGCGGCTAGGGCGAAGGGGTGCTGGTTGTGGTTGTGCACCATTTCGGGGCCTAGGAACCCGTTTTTCGGCACTAGGTTGGGGTCGTAGGTCGGGCTGGGCCGCACCAGCGTGTGAGCGGGGATTCCAGGCACCATGATGGGACCTTTTGGAGACGGGGTTCTTTGAGGCGAGTGCGAGTACTTTGGAGAGCCGTTCAGTCTATTGTCTGTGTCACTTGAGGGTGAAAGGGGCGCGGAACTTTCCGAGTAGTGTATGGGTGAGTGTTGCGGACTGGCTTGGTTGGC